TCAACGTTTCAATATTGCAACATCGTATTCATGATCTCAAATTATTTGTTATATAGCATAGTAGTGTTGAAAGTATTATCTTTCCTGTTAAGAGCATTTTTACTTGTCGCATCAAACGGGATCAGTACAAATTTACACAAGAATACATTGCAACCATGCGACTCATAAACAATATTCCAATCCGGATTTTACACTACTGCTACTACTATAATACTGTCGACTCGTCACAGCAATCTTTCCAGCGCGAAAGTCAGACAGTGGGTACCAGGGTAAGCTTGTGATTCTGAAGAAGACTTTGTAATCAGGACTTCAATAAATCTTATAAGAAAATCTTATATGGTACAGAGATCCAGTAATCATAATAATGGCGCCATGTTCTTTGTGTAGTTATTGCTGCAATGTTGACAAAAGTATAAGAATAATTTCATTAGGTACCTACTATTATCTAGAATATTCTAGAATAGTCCAATCTTGGGGGTGTGAATGTGGTTGTAGTATTATAGTCTTTCGTAAATTTTATAATAGTTTTCCGTTCTCAACAAATAAACTTTGTCGAATATATTTTCAACTGAACTATCCCGTGATTATTTTCATGGGCAGATTACCTATTTAATTATTTTGAAGTCTTTTCACTCTGGAATATTCCAGAATAGTCCAATCTTGGGGCTCGCATGATGTTGTTGTACAGTCACCCTCGAAGTTTTGTGTACCTAGCTTCCCTTTTAATGAAGTCAAAAAGATCTAAACTAATTTGTTGCCCTCGGATTTTCCAACCATTATCGTTTGAACTCAAATTCTTATAATATTTATAAAAATTCATTATGAATACGGTCAACTAAACATATCCGATAGAAAAACTATTTATAGACCCCTTGTGGGAACCGGACACGAGGGCGGAGGACACAAGGGCGGTAGGACACAAGGGTGGTACTTTCCTGAAAGGGTGGACACGAGGGCGAATCACATGACTCACTTAAACATGGACACGAAGACGGAGCCAAACACCGTCCTGAATGATGAACTAGAAATAAACTTATAACATCACACAATTTCATTTAGGTTGAGGTAAAGTTTAGCTCGAATAATTGGATTTACTCGCGTGTAAATTTATTACAAGTTTATTACTTGCAACATCACACGTGTCCTACGCCCTCGTGTCTAACGCCCCTGTGTCCTATACCCGACCCTTGTATTTCTGACTCAATAAAAAGCAGGGCGTTTCTTTATTCACGTTTTATGTTATTCGTCGATTCAGAACCGTAATATGATTGCTATGTGTTGCAGTTAAAGAGTGTTTAACCTTCCTGCATTATAATATTTCTACTAGGACTTCCACCATTCGACACATTTTAAATTTTGACACATCTTTGAAGGAACACAATATCCTTTTAACCATAAATGGGGTAAATGGTGAAAACTATTCCGTTTTAAAATCTTTTGAACTACATAAACTTCTAGATCAAATGTCCTTATGAAATATGAAATGAGAACGTTTATTAATATTTCGAGTTTAGATAGACCTATTGCTTCGGTCCGTGATAGGCTAGCCGGTAAAAGGTTGGAATTATTTTCCGTGGGTGTGATAGTTATCGAGCATTGAAGCAACAGATTGAGTCCCTGATAATTTGAACACTTCTTATATTTAAATGTGTTTGATACCGTTAGACTTCAGAGTATTGTACTTTGCCCGCGAGAGCTTCTCGCGTATTTGTTACTAGTTTTATTGATCAAATCGTTAGTGTTATCGTTATTAAATCGAGTGTAAAAGTTTCAGTAATGCCTACTATAATGTGATGAAAATGCTATTTACACTCAGAAATGGATCAAACTACCATGCATTATAATATTTCTACTAGGACTGCCACTTCCACCATTCGTTATGAAAATGCTCTTTACACCCAGATATTGACCAAACAATAAATCAGTATATTCAGTTATTTTCATTCCGAATAATTCTCATAAAATCTCACCAGTTACACAGTTAACTGCGTCAGTGACTTAACCGTTGTGTCTTTACCGTTTTTAAACCTTCTGTCATGTCCTCTCTTTGTTTTACAATCACTAATGTTTTTTATTTCGTTTGCTTTCTTTCACCCCAATGTTTCGAGTACAAATATTCCCAAAATTTATTTTATTGTACACTACCATATTTTTACTGATAGTTTACCTAAATAACACATCAACTATTCATTATATCTCAATAGGAACACAGACCTATCTGGGCTGATAAGTGACGTTATCAGCTGACATGACCTTAGTCTTCACTTGGTAAACCCTCCGAGTTTCTGATAATATGTCGCCAAATTTATCTGCCAACTGTTGGAGAATATTCATCTCCGTCTCCGCCATAGCGACTTTCCTCGTCTTCGTGCCCATCCCCGAGTTAAACTCCAACTCCAAACGAGTGATCACTCCAGGGATCAGTTACTCCCGGAACTTCGTCTCCATGAACTTCACCTCTGCTAACTACACCAAGTATGCAAACCGGTCTAACTACATCAACAACATCTGCTCCACCAACCCTGGCCATCCCGTCAATCACGTGTCAACCCCAGAAGATATCATCAACATGAGCCCGGAACTAAATGTGTTCTGGTGTCCGGTCTTCAAAGCGGGTAGCAGTCAGTGGGTGAAACTATTCTGTGGAGCCAGACACTTATCAAAACCATCCAGAACTGAGTACGGGTTGTTAAAACCGCTATCTTGTAACATCCATGTTTTGAGAGCCCACAACGGACACTGCAGGGAGCCCAGGCAGGCCTGTGTGGGCTCACAAACTTCCTTTATGGTGGTCAGGGATCCGCTGGCTAGGTTCCTCAGCGCTTTTCGTAACAAGTGGGAACTGGCAAATTCAGAGAGTGGGTTTCATTGGGAGAAGAGCGGGGTTAAAGCAGTATTTAAATACCGATACGTTAATACCTTACTTTATAATAAGAACCCTTTCGATCTGATGCAGGAAGCTAAAACTGTCATCAAGAATAACCAACATAACCTTCATCTAATAGTGGAGAACACGCGCCGTAACAAGAGTTACATCCTCACCCCGGAGGAACACAACCTGATACACAACCAGAGTAACCCTTATCTTAACCCACCGGGACCTACCCTGCGGGAGCTGGTTAAATGGGTGCTATCAGGAGGGAGCGATCCACACATCATCCCGTACTATCAATACTGTGCGCCTTGTACAATGTACCCTCAACTACGTTATACTTAAACTGGACAAGTTTCCGGATGAAGCGTTCGATTTGTTGGACATGATCGGGCATCCAGCCCTGAAACCCGAGCTGAGGGATCAGTTTGAGAGACGGTATGTACCTTGGAAGACTGAGGAATGTATGATAAGATATTACAGGACTCTTCCTGCTGAGATTTTAAGAAGATTTATGAGACTCTGTGGAAAGTTGACTGTGAGTTGTATCAGTATCCTTGTCAGGAGTTCTATGATAAAGTTATTGAGATGGGACCAAGTGATGAAGATTTTGTGCGGTGTTGAGACTTTGTTATACGAAACGAAAACGAAACACTGTATTTACTACCCCGCTACTATGCGACAAATATATTGTATACAATACGGTGCCCATGTCTGAGCGGCTCTCCTCAAAAAACTTGCTCTCCTCATCGGAGCAGAAAGTTAAAAACTAAACACGGGTCTCATAAAATCAAAAATACTATAAACAAAGTTAAAGAGATAATATCATATTAACTGTCACAAAAAATTGTAATAGTGTACATACAATATAATTGATTTTATTGACACACCGAAAAAAAACCAACTGGTTAAACCAAAAAACAAGAAATGGATACTCGAAAAAATGACACAAAAAAGACTTAGCCACTAGCAATAGCCTAACTAAACCAGGCTATAACTGATCATACAAATAGTTCTGGGATAGTTCTTCAACTTACTCTTAAAAGACACAATATTATCGATGTTACGGACATAAAGATGGAGAAAATTCCATGATTCAGGCGCATAGTTGCTGAACCGCCTGTAAGTCGCCTTCAGTTTAGAGAACTTAGGTATCTTCATAAGTAGATTGCATGCTGTTCTTGTTTCTTTGACAGCCGTGTCATCTCTATTCAATTGAACCAACTCCTGGAGGTACATCGGCGCCAATCCATGAGTCACCTTGAAACATTATTTCCTGCTGCTATTTCAATTTTTAAGCTTCAGAAAACGTCAAAAATGCAGAAAATGGTCTGATCTGTTCGGGGTCTATTCGAAGCATGAACTGTAGAAGCCTGCACTACTACACGAATAATTCCTCTTTCCTCAGAATCACTCAAATTAAAGCCACTCAAATAGTACTCCCACGTGCTCACGTGTATTACGTTATTAAAACTTGACTGGACGAGCCACATGAGTGTGATTGATAAGTGGTAGACTCTATTATCACACGTTTAGCCTAATCTTGTGTGTATACTTGTTAACTGTTGAATATGCTTGCCAATGCTGGTTGTAACTTGTAATTGTGGTGACTAAGTTTTAATCTTTCCGTGACAGCTGTTTATGCTTGATTTGGAAAATCGAGGTTTATAGAGTTAACAGATTTAAATTCAGTAATGTGGATTTTTGGCTTTGGGAGAGTTTTCAAGAATTAGTGTTTCGAAAGTTCACGATCCAAGCTTACGATTTTCACTTGTTAAAGAAGAAGAACTATCCCTGAAATGTACTATCCTGTCCTAAAATAGCACATACACTATATCTTGTTCAATTTAATGCGGCAGTATGACTCTGTTCACAGCAGCAGCTGTAGCCTCCTGTTAATTTGAGTACGTACACTCGCCAGCTCGGTTACACTGAATCTAGCGCAAAAATTTTGATTATAAAATATATAAAAAGTTTGTCATCGTCACGACTTATATCGCGCGCAATTTACTTTTCGCGCCAATTATTGTGCCGCGCACATGTGCAAAGCATGCTTTGAAAACAAAAACAATTCATACTGCACAGAGTCCTACAAATTCTATTAACTAAAACAACAATTCATTTTCAGGACACTACTCATCTCCGTACTTCCAAAATGCCCGTCCTGTGACCCTGTACACCGGTAAATTTGGGTACCGACGCAATACTCCAAATCTACGAATCTACCCCTCGTCTTTCGAACCACCAGTGAGATCCGCTTGCCATCCTAACAGTGCTTAATATCAACTACGGACAACTCAAGTCTCCAGTGTTTTTCTGATTGATTTAGAATTCTTTTAAATGCATCAAAGTGATTAAGTATTGCATGCTTATTGATTTTAACTTACTTTATAGGTTTTTTAACTGTAGTACAGAGAAACCATACTTCTTGATCAATGATCACTCTCGTTTTGTTACGATAAATGATTCAATATTTACTGCCAAACTTTGTACATAATCTGTAGATACTAGATGTACACATACTATAATATAAATCCCGTTTTTAAACTTTTATCACATACATTATAAATTATACACATTCTTTAATTAATTTCAACTGCTCCCCTGTCTTCATTGTCCAATGAATTCTCCAAACCAATGAATTGTGAAGTGAGTGACTAGTGTTACAGAACCGGCTACCTAGTAGAGTAACCTAATTTAGTAATAAAGTAATAACACGACGTCCTCGCGTATCGAGCTAATGACAAGCTCTATAGCAGCGTTTAACTGTTTATATCACCCTGTAGATAGCATGAATATGATGAGACAAGAGGCGCTAGATGCTGGAGGTATTAGGGGGCTTGTTAGGGCGGGGATTACAGGACGAAGGGCCCAGCTAACTCCACATTATAGACGGGGCAGCAAGCAACATGTGATTGTTACGAGCAAATCGATGAGTAGCGGCAGCCCGGAGGCAAGCTGTAATTGCAGCTAATCTATAATGACTGATTTTAGAGTGATTGGTTTGGTAATGAGACTGCTTGACGAGGGATCCGTACACCTTGGGCCAACCAATCAGCACCCTGTTATCTGATCACGTGAGTACTTATCAACCAATCAGCTTCCCTGATTTAGATTATCACCGATCTTCGGGATACATACTTACCGGTTAGGTAAATTATAGTTTTTATAGTAATGATCTGTGATATATATGGTAGCAGTAGGGCTTATATAATACCACAGCTGTTAACTGTCCAGCTATCAACACCACATTCTATGGGAGTTCCTGGCTATTCCCATGCGAGTTCGTCTCGGGAAGCGTGCTGCACTTTGTCGCTAAGTGTCCCGGCACACCGTTGACAGATCCGAACCTTTGTCCACTTCATTTAATCCTAATTTTTAGTAGTTGCATCTACCGGGTCGTTTGCACACCTCACGTCAGGACTAGTGCTGCTCGTGATATCGGTCCGGGAATTTTGCTTTCTTGTCTAATTTTCGAGTCTGCTGCCATGGCCGATGGTTGTTCCTTAACGAGCCCGAGGTATACTTTATAATAACTTTGTAGATTGTAAATTCTTTTAAGTTGTACCGGTTTTGACACTGGGCTGATTTCATGCCTTTGGGCGGATTCTACTGTCGGTTGTAAATATTTGACAAGCACTCACTGCTTAGTGAAGTAATTTTGTTTTATTTATATTTCCAATAAGCTGTGTGACTTTCCGTGCCTTTTAACCTCTCCCTCATTAAAATAGAACGCAATAAAACGTAATCCTGCCTTTTTATCTGTGTTTCTCAATTTTCTCTTGAAGATATTCCGTCACTTCGGTCCAACCACAGGCCATGTTTCTGTCACGTGACAGCTTTCTACCGCTCACCTGCCGTTATCGTGACAAGGTTTGGTTTTAGGTGTGGTTGTCATGGTTGTGCTGTCTGTAGCAAGCAGAACAAGCCAGCACTATGGCTTCTCCCCCGACACCAACCACGCAACCCAACAACCCATGCTTTCATATCAATTAGTAACCCAACAATATTAACTGGGAAAGAGCTTGGAGAGCAGAGTCGCAGCACAAAAATAACCTCTCCACGGGCCACATAACGGGTGTGGGCCGCGGACCAGGTTGAATCACGTGTACACAACGTTGGTAACTTTACTAGGCGCACTCGTGCGCTCAACAATGTGCGGTGGGTTACCGCGCAAGACGAATGATACTCTCCCAGCTGTATTATTGTTATTGGGAGGGCGCAATTATACAATACTAATCTGAGACATTTATTAAATTCATGAGGTTTTGAATATTGGGGCGGTGGTTGTGTGTGTGTGCAATGACTTGAGATTAGCGAGCTCTGCCCCAGTGTGTGTGTGTGTGTGTGTGTGTGTGTGATTGAAACAGTTTATTACTGTTCCATAATTGTTTCGTACTGTGAGAGTTGAGACACTGAGACAAGCATATACTGTTTCCTGCTAGATATCCCAGACGAGATCATAACAATGTACTCCCCTGCCCATGTCCCTGCTGCAGGTAAGTGTCTACATAATATACACAACAATCTTACAATGTGTAAGACTGGAAAGTTCACTGGTCTGATTACCCCCTATCTCTTGTAGTCACATTGTACTCCGACCGCTGCCGCTGAGTGGGAGATAACGCTCGGGGGAACTCAGTGGCGTTGTTGGGTCTCGGTCGGAACTTTTGTACTACATAGCTACATACCGGCCCTTGACTTACCCCTTAGTAATAATCCTGATTAGTACGCAAATTGTTCCGCTCGACTTCTGGAGAGTCTGGGGATTCGGCAATCTTGTCTAGTGGTACTATAACTGGTATCTGTGGCTGTGTACATAGTGGTCTTGTTGTGGTTATATCTTGCGAATGTTGGCCGTGATCTGTGATAATATCTCGTGAAATATATTTGAGTTGTCTCTGTTGCGTGAGAGATATTGTAGGATTTTATCTGGTTCGCGATCTCTACCCCCTTGGTATGTCTAGTAGACACGCTAGCAGTATGCTGATAATTATAGATCCTCATATAATCTCGTATTTATACCATAGCCGGTCATGGTGCTTAACCTAAAAACAAGCCCAGAATTCCGCAGATTAAAAGTTCAGTACTTAAACCTGAAAGGCAAGGTCTGGAACAAGTTTTGATTAATATTCTCTAAATTTGGAGAGATTTAACGGTCCTGTATATAAATACTTTACGCAGCTGTCTATGTTATATCACCAAGTTGTACAAGTTGGCATTTATAATATCTCTCTCTAGATCAGGTGGTACTGTTCTTACAATACTGTCAAAAATCCGAACAATTTAGAAATTTAGAGGTATTGTTTCACAAATTGACTCTTTAAATGGGTCAACTCATTTACAAGTTTTGCTATTGAATTAACAATTAGCCATCCTTCAAGAAGATTAGTCACATGATTACATTATTTAATTAAAATTGTTATAATATTTAGTTTATGCCGAATTAGTTGTCCACCTGTCGCCTAAAAAGAGGTGCTCACGTTTCCATAAACCTATCCCACCACGCGACCAAGTTGTACCAATCAAATCTCTCAATTTTCTCTCGCTCTCCTTCTCTCCTAACACTGTAACCTATCAGCGGTCCTTATCCGGTAACGCACGTGACCCAATCAACAAACACGACCATCAATATATCGACAGTATGTACATCCGATGATATATGTTTACAAAGATTACGGCACATCATGAAACATACTCTCTCATCTCAACTCTCTCTCTCTCCCTCTACGCTCTCTCTCCGCTACACAGTTATTGTCGAAGTCACGTGCACGGGTATGGTTCCGAACGCATTCGTTACGGTGTAGCTGTGACAAAACTAGCAACATCAACTCACGTTATCCTGACTCCGTGATCAACTCGCCCTATCAACGTGATACAGGCTATTCATTCGATAGTTATACATATTCATTAGCAGCCATCGTCAGTTTAGATAATGGCATCATCTTAATGACTCCGGCTCGTGTGCATTGTATCGTGTCGGTAATCACGCTGATGTGGATAAAGTTTCCACGGTTAACATGTGATAATAACCGTCCTGCAGCTTGTACAGACCTGTTCCTTATCAGCTGACCTGCTCCGGGAGCAGATAGTCACCAACATAGATCATCCTCTCTCTCACTCCTCCGCAAAACCACAGTAAGTCTCCAGGCCTACCTCCAGCTCACTGTACCGTTGAAACTCTGACCTGGTAAGTCACGTGGCAGGCCATTAAACTCCACTCCTATCGTAACACCGTCCAAATATTTAAGGGGTTTCCACTGGAAAAGTGGGAGCGGGTGGAGGACTGTTGCGTGCTGCACTGTGCGCATGTGAGTAAGCGCTCGGTCACGGTCCTCCCGGGTGACACGTGACCCATGTTGTTTGGGAACACCATGCTACCCGGCATAGCCGTGTTACGAGTTTGACCGTCCTATACGCATGACCTGGAGCAGTTACTGCCGGCGTTTTGGATGCTGCTTTAAAATATTTCAGCCAGCCATTCACGGGATACAACAGGCGAGGTATTTGTTTATAGTTGGTTTAAAGTTACGTCCCGGGGATCTGTGACAGGTTGCTTTGGGGATGGTTGTGGGGTATGACACGGTTCTTACACTCACCAGGACACATGAGCCTAGCTGGTCCGCCGGGTCAAGGCTCGGACGAGTAATGGGCCGGGTATGTAGCAGTGCTGAGTGTTGCAGCGCAGCGCTCACTCAGCCATGACGGTTACTGCTTCGATACACGTGATGCCCTGCTGCAACTCGGAGCGCCTCTTCCACAGCACCCTCACGCCTCACGCGTCCAGCTCTCCTACAATACGCGTGACAGTGGCAGAGGCGCGCTCGATGCGAGCTATGTGCTTAGTCGCATGTACTGTGAAACTCAACTCACTCATTTGGCCATTAGTTCGCCGTTTGTAACACTTACGAATTTTGTTCTCTCCGCTCCGATCATTTTCTTGCCGAATATTTAGCATTCCCGTTGACTATGATGGAAACGAAGGTCGCAGATAAGGAAACAACCCCCGTAACGACTCCAGGACCAGCATCGCCTCCCTCCTCCACCTCCTCCTCTCCCAAGTCTCCAGAGTTTCTCTACACCACCTCTTCCCTCGAGAGCCTTGAGGATTGTAAGTCCTGTAAGTGGAGACACTACGGTCTCATATACACTTTTCAAATGTTTTCTACTTAAATTACTCAATCTATCTGACCGCGTTACCGACCTGCTGTGTTATTGTTGACTCGTTTGTAAATCTTTCTAATGCTTGTCGAGTTCAGTTGCAACACGCGTGTCACGGTCAATTCAGCTCCAATTTTAACTGGTCCTCCTGTTAAAATGTGTTTCATTGTGGAAATTTAATCATGATACGTTTCACACACTCACCGGTTCTGGGACTTGTAACAATCATCTCTCTTTCGGAACATTTGATGTATCCTCACTTGATATCGCGCTAATTTTTAAGCCCTCATAAAACGCCGACCTATATCAAGTACCTTTATTGCTATTCAGGAAAAAAAAATTAAACTCGCTACTTTACTTTTTGTTTACCGTTACATCTGTCTCCCAATATTGAAAGTTTGTGGAACTCTGTAAGTCAGGGGACACACGGTTTTGATTTCGTAACATAATATTTAATGTGCGATGTTTTCATTGTTGTTTCGTTGTCACTGCTCATCGGGTTCCAACAGGCCGTGCACTCCGTGATTTATCCAATTTAAGAAATGGTGTGGTCAGACAAAGGAGCAGTAAACAATGGAATAAGATCCAATTAGTCCTGAGTAACTCAGGTGTTTATTGTTTGCCTCTGCGTATCCCGATACATATCTAATTAGTAGCAATAGCTTGTCTATCACGTCATGAGTCTATACCATGTACCAGGTCTTTTATATGGAGTCCAGACAGCGTCTACTACACACTCTGTTTCCGCCATTACCCACCCCCGCTCTTTGACTTTCGTTTGGCATTAAACCACCTCTCCCTTGCCGCTTGCTAGGCACTCCCGCCTGCTCGCTCTCTTACCAGAAAAGGTTAATTAATTTGTTGCAAACGAGTTGTCATAAGTAGCGGAGAATTTTGTTAACTTAGAGTGCAAGCCAGGGGTTTTGAGAGTTGTTCATTGGTCGCTGTCTCGTGCTTGCAGACGCAACGCTACTAAACCACCGACTTGCCTAGATTTGACCTTTCCCTTTCTTCTGATTTATCCGTATGTGCCAGCAAAATTGAAATTCTTAGCCAGGATCAACAGTCGCTAACCCTCACTAAAATGCAGTGACCTCTAATATAACTTCATCCAATTCGTTTAGCCCGATTCCTCAATTCAGTTAATCCAATTCTTCATCTATTCATGCTGAAATAATTTTGTTTCTCCGCGCGATCAATGACAAGAATTTTAAATGCAATTTTCCTGTTGAAGTGAAATGTCATTTAACTGCTAAGGACTGGGATCGAGCACACGATTAAACTAGGTTTCGAGCGGGATTGGACGCGAGGTTTTCTCCCTAAGAGCAGATCGCAGAGTTGCCTAGATCCCAGAACTCGAAACCTACCCCTCTGCATTGTGTCCTAACCGGTCTGTCTGGAGTTTGGCAGTGTTGACAAGGTCAAAATAGCCGTTTTGTAGGTAAACCGTCCTACAAATTATTTGCATTCTCAAAAAGGTTGAGTTAGTGTTCGAGCAAGTCGGTTCACGTTATCAGTTATGCCGTTTAAATCAACACGTTTTTCAACCGATGAAAGATGTCACCACAGATTCAAAAACGTTTAACCCAACAATAAACCCATTTGAGGATTAAATCAGGAGCCTGAACAAGGTCGCGAGACACTAAACTGGTCCTCGTGCATCCTTGAGCAGGTTCACGTATTACCGCATCATCCCCGCACTTAATTCTGCGCACTCGGCCGAAGAGAATTTAGATAAAGGTCTCAGAGGGCAGAGCTTGATGTGGCCTTTGTTTGCTCGTTAACTACTAAATTTGTAGTTTGCTAATCTCTCTCAATCCTCCTGTCGGTCTGACTGGCGCTGGAAACAATAAACAGTTGTCCTTTGCAGTGAGGCTTTTATATCCACATTATTATTATACGCAGTTCAGTTTTATACTTGGTTCTCTCTCGCTCAAAGTGCACAGCTGGACGATCCCACAGCAGCTTTGTCGCAGCAAATAATTCGCAAGTGATACTTTGTGAAATGCCTGGGTGCGCGCTCTTTTCCGGAGTTACTTCCCGGTTATGGTCTCATGCTCCCAGGTCTCCGGCCCTGCTGTGCCCCCAAATATTTGCCTGTGTTGTGCCACGTGATGTTGTGGCACGTGACCGGTGCACGTGCAAATATGATCGGATCCCAAAGTTACAGGTGGGGGGATTATTCGTAAAATCACTTGCTTTGTCAGCCTGTAATTTAGGGCTCGAGTTAGAGGGTGTCAGGGTATCACTGCAGCCTGGTAATTAAAATGAAAATTTCGTTAGCGTAGCTCCACTTGGGGGAAACATGACGTTTATGCAGCACGAATTACGACAAAACTCGATAGACTCAATATGATAGCCACTCTAATTTCGAGGTAAACTGAAAATTACTATGTTTAAAGGGGTCGGGGGCGAACCTTTGTTATGCTTGCCAGTTGTATGAAGTGGGGTGTTTGTGACAGACCTGACACCGACTTCTCATCTCACTTTAGTGAGCACATATCAATACGTAGTTTGTAATTATTTGTTGCGACTCTTCTCTTCTATCTTGTGAACACACCATGCTCCCCACCGGGCACGCCAACCCCTCGTTCTATTGTTTGGATAGCCAACAAGTTGGGGTCCGGTAGACCCTGAAATAGACCAACATCGTTAACATATAAGACGCATCAATCCCTGTTGTAACATTGTTACCTTTGTGTGTTATAACAATAAGTAGGGCACGTTGTATGCGAGTCAAGAGAAAAGTGAGCCGTTTATAAATAACCGATTATTGATCGTATTGGGAACGCATTGTGTTCCAAATCTTTCCAAATACGGATGATCCTTGAAGCGTGACCTTGGTAATAACCATTTATGATTACCACGATGGATTCTCAAATTTTCGAGCCCTATAATACTTGATCATCACAACAGGCTGGGTAGACCAGTAAGTCTTGGGTGGCTGTTATTGGTCCCCTGCCGGTAACGTGGGCTAAATTCTCTTCTCTGATAGGTCGGAGAACCGTGAAACGTGCTGTGATTGGTGGGCTCGCCACCCCTGCACGTGTGACGTTACCTAGTCTGGTGCTGTGTTCGGTCACGTTGAAAAATGAGGTTCATGCCACTCACGGACCCATGAGCAAGGTTACCAACCAAATCATCCCTATTAAATATGATAAATCTTTTAAATTTGGAGATAATTAATCTATTAGTGAATTAAGAGTTAGGGCTCAGGGATCCCATTGTCAAGGCACAATAGGCGTTAAAATGATAAATTTTCACAAGCCGTACAAATGTTGTGCCCTAGATTACCATTGTCTCAGACTAGATCGAATACCGTTTCCGTGGTTCGCGGACTAAACATTTTCCGAGCCCTAAATCTCGGGAGGTAGACCCAGTCTGCATACCGCTCCAAATTTATTATTCCCGTTTAAGTTTAACGCGGTGCTCTATTTTTATTGTTTTCTAGAGCTCTACACGATACAAATTGGGTTTAATTCTGTCTCTTAATTTCACTTTCACCAGCCCTATGGGTTAAATGCTAGATATGCAACGCTGGCTTCGTTGTCTTTTTCTCTGCTCTCTGTGTTTAGTCTTATCCTGGAAACGAGGTTTAACCTCAATTTCAGACACCTACTCGTAACCTCAAGTACCAAAAGTACCAGACCTTGCTCTGCCAGAAGTTACTTTCCCTCAAACCATCCGTGATTTTGCCTCTTCTTTATTTATAAATGTCGCCCAATGAAATGTGTTCATATCTCCGGCTGAACCAATAAGAATTGAGAAAATTCGTGATTTGGCTGGTAGGGCACATATTAGTGACTAGTCGGGGTAGGAAACGAAGCCAAGCAACTCTCCAAATGAACATATAAATGTAATATGCTTTTGTTAGCCTTACCTTATACAAGAGACATGCTAAATTTACTGATACCTTCTTCTGCCTTTTTGCACAAAAGGCTTACTATTTTATTTTCTCTCTACATTTTGTGTCGTTAGCCCTATATTTGCCGGAAGATGGAGATGATGGCGATGACAATATTATATTTTATACCGTTATATTAAAAGATTAAGGCTGGATTCACCCGACTAGCGATGCGTCTCCGTTGCAACAATTATCACACCTACTAAAATTGTGGGATTAACACTGGGTGATCTAAACAAATGACCCTTCATTGCTCCATCATGACCCTCTTCATTGAACAAAATATAACCTCACTCCGACTTCAAGTTAACATCTAATCCGGCACCCCTATCCGGCACCTACCCTCCCCCTCAATATCGCTTACTGATCCCCCTATATTGCCTCGATAATTCCTTGCTTGTTTTGAAGTTTAGATCTCCTCTATCTGAATTTAATTTCATGCCACACACCTTGCTCCCCCTGCACAGTTGCTCCGGCCTCTGTAAGAGTGCATCTCGCTTGATGACCGTTCCATGTCAAGTGCAATTAGATCGATAGATCTGCAGCCATTAGTTGATCGTATGCAGGTTATAGGTGATCGAACAAAAAGATTTTTCTCCTTTTAAAAACATCCACTCGCTATGTCTCGTGGCTTGCTTTTCAACACATGTTAGCCCATATAATGCTTCCAAACAGCTTTTTATTCCTTTTTCGTCGCGAAATTATATATTTATTTTAGTTTGCTCGAGCAATTCAATCCTTTTGGTCCCTTAATTTGAAAATTTACTTCGAGGACTTGCTTTATATTCGTTATGCTCAAATTAGCACATGTGCCGTGACAGCTAGTCTCCAACGTGCGATGACTTAAATCCTCGCTTCGCGAGATGCACAAATAATGTGTGCCACATGAATGCAATTAAACGTGTCCTCTATTACGATAAAAAGTTTCGAATTTTGCTATTTTTGCTTGATATGAGTTTATTTTTCGTCCGTTCCACAATTTTGTTTCGGATTGCCTTATAATATGATTTCATCCAATTCCAGCAAAGTTTATTGTCCAACTCCTGTGAGAGTAGCTCCCAAAGCAAAAGGTGAATATGCTATGAGAACACAGACACAGTCCCCATACCTTAAAACACGACAAAACCTCACTTATATCCACCAACATATCACTTAAATTGAAGTTTTAACCACGATCACGTTGTAACCTCATTTACTTTAGTTCGGAAACATATTAGTTAACTATCACTCAGACAGAAAGCAGTTAAATTTAACCACGTGACCCAGCTCCGATCTAATCCAACCGACAAATTGTCCTCGTTTTATCGGTCTAATCGATAGATGTGTTATCTATCTAGTGATTAACTGCCAATTTTGTGCGATCTACTCCGTTTACTGTACCAAGTGATACAACGCGGGTCCTGTGACAATATCCACCTGATTTCACTTACGATCACATCTCCATTGCTACATCAATCGTTCGATCATTCCCAACGTTTCGTGTTTCGCTCGGAAAGTTTTGTGTGTCAGTGTCAGATCTGACTCTAAGCTAAAGTAGGGATACTCTAAGTCTCAGTAACTTTAAAGTAACCAGCAATTAAAGGGGCACCGCTCCTCATTAAAACCATAGAACCTTTTCAAGTTATTGCCCTCCTAATTCCCCTTGTCTATTTCCGACCAGCCTAAATCTTTCAGATAAACGAAGGGTTGGAGTAAATCAACTTGGAGGAAGTTTCAGGAACGGACGACCCCTCCCCGACGAAGTTCGACAGAAAATAGTCGAGCTGGCCCAACACGGAGTACGACCCTGCGATATCAGGTCAGTCAACTCCACCGATCTCCAGTCATTTAACCATGTTCAAATTTACTAATCTTCAATTATAACTTTCCGTCAAATTTACCGGTCCTTCGTTTCAATCCTTCAAGTTTACTGATCTGCCATTTATTATGAGTTTAGTGAGCCGTGTCTAATTCTAGCGACAGGTTGGCGGGATTGGAAGACCCATTGTTTAGGGTTTTACAACTCTCAATCTTATGATGTATATTGTTCTGGCTCTCAATCGTATTGTTATAATGCACGTTTTTCTAGTTCTAAATCATATGATGAGTATTGTTCTGGTTTGCACAGAAAATTCCGCCGTATAATCTATATCTTTTTGAACATGTTTCCATTTAAATTAAGTCTCTTCCATCGAAATTGTAATTTGCAACGTCAATGAGGGGCGGTAGAATAATTCATCACAATAAGAAACAATTTCTTACAATAAGCAACAATTTCTTACAATGAGTAATATTAATAAGTTCTTACTTCGTATTTACGAACGGAACACAATGACCGTGCTCTTATGCGGAATCATGACAAGATAAAGCGAAATGAGTTGTTTAAGTTGCTGGGATAATAATACCAACTAAAGATAGATAGATGCTAATAACTAAAGATAAGCTGGCCAACTCCGTAACAGGCTTTATCTCGACAATACTTAATTCTACTGACATATAGCACTACTATTCGTGTGTGGGTGTGTGTGTGTGTGGGTGTGGGGAGGTTGAGAAAATAATCATTCCATTATACACATTTTGGTGCGGCGGGAAGAAATATTATACATTATCTAACATGTAACTTTCCACACTTTTGGGGATGAATACTGAATAATAGCCACAAATCTACTGGGGCGTTAGTGAATGACAGTCATGGGTTTGCCGGACTTTATGTGAAGTTACACAGAACCGGCCCCCGGCCCTTTTCACTGAGTACTTCACACAAAAATTCTGTTTTTGAGGGGTCTTTGTACGGGCAGCCAATAAGTCTGTCAATTTCAAACGAATCTCCATCTGTCGATAAGAAGTGGCTGAAATACGTCCTTGTGTGTGTGTCACGCCGCTCTACCCTCACTAGATGCTCTATCATGTAAAAGCTAAAACGGGTTTCGTCACCGTTTATAAATAATATCCGCATTATTTGTGGTAACAGGTTATCACTTTAATAATCCTTATGAATTGCTTATCGGTAAACTCTCCCTCCTCGCTGTTAACTCCTCAAACGAAAAGCGATAACGTCCTCGCAACCTCCAATGATTAAATAATTGGTCCTTCCCTCGGTGCTCAAACGACTTTGAAGGTTAAAGTAATGTAACAATTTCACCCTAACTTCCAGTTAATGGAACTCTTTGCACTGATCTCATTACTCTTCATGCTTCCAGAATTAAATTTACACTGTACAGCACATTAAGGTTGGATATATTGGCTGTGGATTTGATCCGCGAGATAGGCCGAAGGAGCATCTCAACTCAAAGGAACTTTAATTTAACGTCGTCCGGGCAGGTTTCAGCCCAAGTTGCAATTGTCCTTTAATTGAACTGGAGCAGTTAAGGGTTGTCAAAGTGTGCCGCATACTGTGATGTCCTTCTAATTTAGATAAGTTAGGCAAATTTAATTAGCTTAAGTATACGCATTCTACTCATATCATGTCAGAATGTGGAGAATGGAGATCATTAATCGTTTTCTTGAAAGATATCATTGTATCAAAGTACTTGAGATTCTAGGAATTTTAGGAATACGGCCATGGTTGGCTGATGAAACTGGAAGTAATCTTCATATTATGATCTTACCAAAACAAATGTTTCGCCTAGTTAACTGTACAAATATCTGCTCTCCCAATGCCTCAAATTCAACCAAATTTAACAAAAACTAACCCGCCTCCCTTCAAAGTGCAGCCACCAAATTCAACCAAATTTTCAACAAAACTAACCTGCCTCTTTCCCCTCAGTCGACAACTAAGAGTATCCCACGGTTGTGTAAGCAAGATCCTGGGTCGCTACACTGACACCGGCAGCGTCATGCCCGGCGCAATCGGCGGCTCCAAACCTCGAGTCGCCACACCTGAAGTTGTTGGTAAGTACCTAACTTTACCCACATCTCATCTCAAGTATTGGGACGAGTTTTGCTTATAGTGTTATCTCATCCGGCGTGGTGATGTTTTCAGAAATCAGAAACGTGAGCATTTGTGTTATGGCATAATACCAGGAAACTTTTACTTACGTGGCGACGTTGTGGAATCGGAATTCGGAAGCGGATTATTTTCCGGGGAAATGTAGTAGGAAAGCAATTGAATGATGCATTTCTTACATCATTAGGTAATACTGAGACTTACATCACTGTAATATACTGATCATATGCTTTACATCATTGGAATACTGAGAATAATTTCGATTCTTTCAGCTGTTATCGAGAGGTACAAGAACGCAAACCCCAGCATGTTCGCCTGGGAGATCAGAGATAGATTACTGCTAGATGGCATGTGCCCCAATAAGGTACATACTTACAAATACAATTTGTAGAGAAATGGTTTTAAGTTTTGACGGTTTTCTCACGCTCATATAACTTCAATATGTGATAACGTTTATTACGAGACAAGTGGCAGTGCAACTTGAGATTCCTATTTAGTTCCTAAAACGGATGTTTCTCTTCACCTGAACATGATACTATGTAATATTGTATTAATTTTACATAATTTTACAGGTTCCCTCTGCCAGTACAATCAACCGCATTCTGAGGTCTAAGTCTGCCAACGCCGCCAAGGGACAGAAACGAGTACACACCTCCTCCATTTCATCTCTACTGAACTCGACCAAACTTCCCACCCAATGCATACCCAACAGCAAGATTAAGACACCTTCGCCGACAAGCAAATCTCCCAAAACTCCCCTAGTTACAATATCGACGACATTTTGGGAATCAAGAGACACCCTTCTGCAGGTAAATACTAGATTTCATGGTCGATAACGCGATTTAGTTTCCGTAATGGCGACAGGCTGTCGTCGTGATATTTTAAGTTTACCCAGGGTATCCATACCTCACGTTTTAAGGGGCAATTCGAGGGAAAAATAACAAAATTCAGTACTAGCCCCTTATCAGTGCGTCAAAAATATGCATTACATTAGCGTACCATTGTCTCGTCAAAAATTTTAAAACTTTTAAAACCCTTCCAGTCAGTACCTTTCAAATATTGCAATCTTAAGGCTAATGTAAATTTATCCGTAATTGTTAATAAGTCGATATATGGGTGTCCCTGACTGATGGCCCGAAAAAACATTACCTCAACGTCACAGTTGTGTGTCCTTTAGTGAAAATAGTGAAAATAGTTTCTAAAATGTTTCGTCTGTCCTGGATCATTCATATCCATCTCCCAAATGATAAACATCTTGCCTCATCCCTTATTTTACGAAGTTTCTATTTATACTCTTTCCAATTTCTAAACAGCGTTGTCTTTCAGAGGGATTGACGAATGAAAACTCCGCTAAAAAGATTAAGCAAGAACGTAAGTAACAAGATGGGGTACACGTGACCTAGATACTAGTCGCCTATTGGCCGGGTAGGGGAGGTTGTCCTTGTCATTGGTGGGATAGAGAGAGCGAGGGAGTTAGAGACACAAGTTGTAGCAGCGACCTAGCCACGTGATACACTCATATTATCCATGTCGCAGTTCGCAGTCATGTATGGCAACAATACGCTATTCCCTGCCTCCTAAAACAACTGCCCAGCATTAGAGTCTGACCTGGAGCTCCTACCAATGAGTGCGCCGCGTTCCCGCCCACGTGGCCAATTCCCGCCAATGAGCGGACAATTGACGGGCTGAGTCACGAGCAGCCTCGTGAGGCGGAGGTGGCGAACCATGGTTGCCTCTCACTCGTATTGCTTGGTCATCAGTGCAATCCAGCTCGGAGACTCTATTGCCTCCTTGTAACAATGCGCTGATGAACAGGTCCGATCCAATTATTGAGCAGAGTGAGCCGATCATCTATCGGTAGAGAACGGCAACTGACCTGACATACCATGTCATACGTGCACCAGCTCGCCACACCAACCCTCTTTTGTAAGTTTCATCCTCTCTCATTATCCTCTCTCTACAGTTCTCTGTAATAACTTTAATAATGTAAAAAGCGGGAGGAGGTTGTTGAAACATTGGATGGGGAGTTAGTTTTTGAGTAGGGTCCAGGGAGGGGATGGTAGGGTCGGACTGCCTGGCGCCACACGTCCCCTCACCACCAGCCCCCGGAGATGGTATGCCTGGAAACTGGATGTTGAGTAGAAGAGTCCTCAAGTACACCCTGTACAGCTGGGTTAAGTCTGCACGTGAGGCCGTGGTTGGTAACACAGTGTCCGAGGTAGCAGAGTTGACGTGATCAATTGTGATAGCAACTGCTAGCTCCGGCCCGTGGTTTAGGAATTAAGGTTATCCAGAAAATTAGGGTACTTGAATAAGGGTACGGAGATGAGGTACCCTTGTACTATTACTGCCGTATCGTACTGTGCGTGGGTGGACATTTAGGTTGTCCGGAAACACATATTTCTAAAATTTGAAATCTCCCAAATTTAATGATTTGGTAATAAGGATAAGGGAATTACGTAGTGTGACAGTTCCTTGAGCCCTAAAATATTGTAATTCACAGCAAGTTTCCCCTCAATTATAAAGGTGCACGGGGGTGTTGAGTGGAAAAAAGGAGATAAGATCGTCTCCCCGTATCCTATATCTGGGTTCCCACCTCCACCACAATTCACCACGTGACGGTTGAGATATCCCGGGGAAGTCATGGCTGAGAGAGATACTGTTATTATTTTACAAGTCTGGTGCCTTACTTAGTACCAGGCACTCCGACCCTGATTAGGGCTCGTACATTAGTGTATCTGCCAACACAGTTTCCTCACTTGATACTAAATCAGGGGGTCACGTGGCCGCCTTCCCACCAATCAGTCGTCATCCTGCTGGGTTTAGACGATGGGCTATTGTTAACTCATTACGCCCTATTTCGAAATTTCAATAACAATTATCGCCCTTTATTAGATTTCAATTGTGTGAGATTGAAAGGTAGGCTCAGGTGCCGTGGCGCATGAAACGAGGACCGTAGCTCAGCGTGCCCTCACGTGAGGCTCGACACTGAGAGATGGGGGCTACATTTGCATGGCATTTACTTTCAAACACAGTGTAAGCTGGGCAGGATAATCTTTCCTGTGGGAATGTAATGGCTTGTGTTACGTGGCCAGGTGCTGTTTCCTTGAGTACCAGGAAGTAAGGATCAGCAAGCCACCTCGGTAAGGCCGTGCATCGTGTTACAGCATCGTGTCATTCCGAACACACCATGGTCACGTTTCCCTCTGCTAGCGTTGCAACTCGGTGTTGCAGAAGAATAGACCTGCGTGAATAGCACTCACAATTTGGTAAGTCCTTCCCTGCGTCAAGACAGGCGAGCGAGCGAGATCTGGGCTCAGTAGGATCGTGAGATCATAAGTTCCTCTCACTCTCGGATGATTCGCAGTACTCCATAGACCTCCCGTGTGGGCAATCCGGCTAAAAGTTTCCAACGATCAACTGGCCTGGTGACTAAAGACTGTAACGGACCACCGACACACATCACGTTGCAATATATGTCATGTTACTCTACTTTCCCACGCCCTACATTTCACACCAGTCCGATGATTAAAGTTTCTGAAACCATCGCCACTCGCCAGTGCTTTCTAATGGATTAAATTATGTGGAGAGTTTGAGTTGCGAGGGTGGGATGTTACAGCTCAACGCAGGTACACGTGAATTAGTTTCGCTCTCACGTGTTACCGCTCAAGTCAGCCGTATGTCAATGCTAGTAAAAACATGGAACTGTGCTGATCAGTGGACCATGACCTTGACCGCACGCGCGGCCTCGTGAGACTCTACTTTTGTCGGTCAGGTGACGCGCGCGTGACACGCACGTGATCCCCGCGTGGCCTGGCATCACTGCCATGCTTCACAATAGGCCGGCCCGCACGTGACAACAGCATGACATGTACTTAGAGACCCGTGGTAGTTACAGATGCCTCGTGACCTGGCAATTTGTTTCACGTTAGAAGAGTGCATCCCACCGTAAATATCCATTCAATTGCGATGATAATATATTCTTATTTTTAGTGATAAGACTAATACTATACGAGCTGCTTAGAGTCAAATTCTGGGCCAATGAGCGGCGGAGGAGATGACATTAAGCCAATGAGATTGGTGTATCTAATAACGATGTACAATATGAACAATGGGCGGCAATTGTCGCCGCCATGCCAATGCTCGGTAATAGCTAAACTAAATCCCTGCTGTGGAGTATGTAATCAGCAGTATCTGCTCCAACTCATGTCGCCAACAACCCATCAGCTCAGCCCGTACATCTCCTTTCCAAATGAGAAATAACCCGGGTACCTACCAACAGGAAACAATTCCAATATTTTGACTTTATTGTATCTCTACAGATACTGAGTATGGAGCTCTTACAATAGCTCAAACACCTAAACTTTTAACCTGAGAGCTGACAAGGTCCGAATTAGCACGTTAGATTCTCACACCTCTGCTCTAGCTGGGGTAGTAGTTGTAGCCGGGATTGTAGAAAAATGGCTGAGAAGCTCACTCATTATTGTCATATTAGCGGCTAGTATACTTGCATATTATCGCACATTCTTCCCCACAAGTAGTGGTCTGTATAATACCTGTCAATATAAGTGGTGTTAATCGCCAATGGTCCGGACTAACAACACTGCCCTATTGTCTCTGCTAAACTTGTTAAAGTTTCTCTCTCTCTCTATATATATATATATATATATCTATCTCTCTCTCTCTCTCTCTCTCTATCTCTCTCTCTCTCTCTCTCTCTCTCTCTCTCTCTCTCTCTCTCTCTCTCTCTCTCTCTATCTCTCTCTCTCTCTCTCTATCTCTCTCTCTCTCTCTCTCTCTCTCTCTCTCTCTCTCTCTCTCTCTCTCTCTCTCTCTCTCTATCTCTCTCTCTCTCTCTCTCTCTCTCTCTCTCTCTATCTATCTCTCTCTCTCTCTCTATCTCTCTCTCTCTCTCTCTCTCTCTCTCTCTCTCTCTCTCTCTCTATATATATATATATATATCTCTCTCTCTCTCTCTCTCTCTCTCTCTCTATCTATCTATCTATCTATCTCTCCCTCCGTCAGTTCCAGCACATGTTTAGCGTGTTACAAAACACAGCACAGCAGTCTCTGAGGAACGTGAGGAGGGCCCGGATCTGCTTGAGCAAACTTCTATTTTCTATTTTCACGATCTGAACATTTAAAACTACTTTCACCATGACACGGAGCACGCTGTGTCGTCATTGCGGGAGTGTTACAAAACATTACAGGACACGTGACCACACTCTCCCCTCTACTCCCCCTGCTCCTCCCATTTTAACAGCGACTGCTCCGGTCACGTGACCGCTGCTCGGAGTTGACACGTTTGAAAGTGGCAGTAACTGTATTAGCAGCTCCGTTACAGTTAATGTGTCTTGCTCTGTCATACAACTGCAGTATGGCAGCTTCGGAGCAGCAATGCACTTGAACTTTTTCTCTGCCAGATATATCGTAATTGGTAATAGTAATGACGGCTACATACTCGATCTATGCCAAATATCGTAATAGTAATGGAGCTGAGTAATAGTACTGGCGTCCAGCACCTGATCTAGATATTGTAATAGTAATGGCGTCCAGCACCCGCCGATTTAGTTCCACGCTAACCCCAACTCCTTAGTCTGTATTGGTTTACTCCCTCATTTATTTGTTAATCTCCTCAAATAATCAGATCCTTTGTAAATATTGTGCTCGGTACCAACAATGCATTTTTAGTTACCCCCGCCATTCGGCGCCATAATGCTTCATAAGGCTCTATTAGTTACAGTATCAATAGGCAATTACGCGGCTAAAACGGTTAAGTCTACCGCTCAAAACATTTAATATTAATCATAATTTGGACATGACATTAAGCAATCTCTCTTGTCCGTGAGGATGGTAAATGGTTATTATTAGCGAATGATCGGCTGAAAACAAATAATTAAAGCTTTGTGAGGAGGTTGCAGGGTAACTATAGCCCGTACCATCGTGTAACTCCCACTAATATAAGTATTTATGGTAGCTTTGCCAATAATCTTCTGCACATCTTTTATAATTACTAACAGCCCCCCTATTCACGGTCCTTCGTCAGATCGTCTCTTCTTCATGCGGGGATTACAAAAATGCTCAATGGTCAGTTTCACCGTATCACTATATATATAATTTGTGTGTATACCACAGATTAAGTAGCATTATACGTGGTCAGATATACATTCCTCTCATTCTCCCAGGCTTCTTAAGTTACTTTTTCTTTACCATGTAGAATTAACTAATGTGGCGTAGACCGGGGATTAAGAATCGAGGGATCACCCTCCCCTACTCAATGTAAAACATTCTTTATACTCAGCCGAGCGTACAAGTTAGTAGTTAGGTATGAGGCTGGTATCGTGGAGGAGCATTCTATTTCCGCAGCATCCTCTCCAATTTGTCCACAAGGTGATCAGTGTAAATGTCCTCAGATCACTGAACTAGTGCCGATCAGAGGGGCTCTAGTATTAATATTACGAAATTTTATAATTGGGAAGTAACAATTTGTGAGTTCCCGTTTCCTGTCCTTTGAGCAGCCCAATCTAGCTTTGTGGGATGCCTAACTCAGCCGACACGCTTTATACTTACCTCCACTGCTCGGCTAATGATTTAAAGGACTAGAATGTAGGGATTCCAGACCTGGTAGAGTCGAATGCGGGGCTGTGTTGGATTCTCGGAACCTTTGTACGTAAACAGGATTACAGTCATTATCATTCAGCTGTGTGATCTGAGCGGCTCAAAAAAAACACGTTCAATGGTAATTAACTAGATTTCAGTGCGGGATGTTTTACTCGAGTTGTTGGGTCTGAGCGGAGAAGTTTTTAGGGGGGTCTGGGTTTCATGTGTGTTGGATAATATGTGGTAAAAATTATTGGTATCCATGCCAAGAATTACATGGTAGAATTCTTTCTATATTAGTTCAGCCATCCCATCAGATTTATGATGACATTATATAATCATTAATTTTGTAGGCACGACATTGACCAAACCCAAACCATGCACGGTCATTTTTCAATATTTAGGCTAAAATCAAGATATCACTGACTTTCAAAAAATTGTTGATGGACAACGGCAGCAAATGAATCCACAAAAGTGCAGTTTTATTGAATTACTTGCTTATAAGTGTTTTTCTAATCACTTTTTAATTAGAAAAGCAGTACTATTATCTGAATTTCGACCACGACAACCTAAATTGAATTAGCGACTGAAGCAGAATTTGTGGGTGTGTCACCTGTCACGAAATACCACCTAAAATTTAGATGGTTGACCGATGGTAAATTTAATTGTCTTATTAATAATTAGTAAGTGATTTGGGTGCGACGAGTTTCATTTTCAAGGTATTTGAAACTGAGTTGAGTCATAGTTTATGTCAAAAGTCAGAAGAGATAAAGAGTATTAAATGACAAGGAAACCTCCCCCCCCCCCCCCCCCCCCCCCCCCCCCCATACTATTTCTCTATTTGTTTATTTTCAAAATAAAATCTTTGAAAGTTTGCCTCCAAATTATATGTTTTACTAACCCCAACATTATTTCAGATCCCACCACTCCCACCTCACGATCGAGTCTGTCTTATCTTGGAGCCTCCTTGCTTTCTGAGGTCAGTATTTTATCTTATACTAAAATCATCCTTATTTTTCTTTTTCCTAACTTGAGCGGTGTGGCCCTCTCAGTGGTGTTAAATGTTTCGAATGAATGCTCCTCAGTACCTAAGATTGTTTCTGGTTCTACCGGCTAAAATTTCTCCTAATTCAGCATTTGTCACCTGTTAGCCCGCGGGCATAAAAAATTTTGCCAATCAATTAATTAAATAGCATAATACTTGAAAGAAAATTCGATATTTTGAGTTCAAAGGCTTGAGTGGGGCGGGACGTTTGAGGGTTTTGGGTGTTATCAGTGAAGCGGTTCTGCTGATCAAAGCGTCACGTGATACTGATGCTTTGTGATAAGTTTTAAATGTGTCAACCTGAGGCCGGTCAACAACCTTCCCCTAGACCTGATTGGTTTTTAACTGAATCTAAGGGTAGTACCCACCGGTAGTACCCACCGTACGTCATGGCCCTAATCTCCCTTCTAACATCTTAAATCACTCGTCACGGTCAACTTTAGCCGCCGCCGCCTACCTTCTTATCAGTGCTCCGCACAAAGCAAATAACAAGAGCCAAAAAAAGCCACCATCTATTTTTAACGCCTCCTCCCTCCTGGGGGAGTCTGTATACCTGGTTACCTGTGTTACAACACGCTCCAAACAGAGCTGATGGCTGGCTCCCTGTATATATACTAATGTGAGGGGGTGCTGTGCTAATATCCCATCAACTGATCACATAGTTACCTCCACCATGAGCAGGTCACCAGTCCCGGTCACAATTTACCATGGTTCAGTAGTCAGGGACCCTGCCGGAAACCACCACAATATGCACCTCACATGTTGCCATGGTAACCACGTCCCCGTCACGTGGTTTGCACGTGATCCGCAGAGCGGGGTGAGTTGGAGGGCGGGACACGTGACGGACTATCGCGCTCCGGCCAACAGGTGGAGGTGGAGCCAGATATGAAGAGAGAGAGAGAGAGAGAGAGAGAGGGGGGACAGAGGGATGGGTCCGAGTAAAGTTGATTACAATGGCTGGAGCACGGTGGTGAGGATCTAACTTTATTGGTGTGTTGAGAATAGATGTGAGGTAGAAAGAGTTGACTAGCATTTCCCATTGTTACCCACTGAGACACTGTAAGTTATTCAGCTAAGCGGAGTTGCCAATCTGATTAGTATTACATGGTATAAGAGTTTTTTTTGAGGTGAATAGAGCCTGGAGGTAATGAAGCCGCCATCACTTAGTACTCATAAAGTTTAACACTAGCCACTTACCCCAAATATGTATCACCGCATTCTGCGAATTGTATCGAAATCTATCAAGCGTGAAATGAAACAATAACTGAGCCAGCAGCCATTCGGAACACTGACATCCTGACAGCTTAACAACAGATGACACTTCATAATACCACTTATCACCAATTCCAAATCTCCTTCTAAGTTTTCTAACCACCCCCCTGTCACAGGTCGCTGAAAAGAGAAACCAACTCGCAGCCAACACGAGTCTGCTGGCGCAACAACTGGAGCAGCTCCAAAACTCCGGCTTCGTGCTGTTGCCCAGGTGAGAATTGAGAGATTACGACACTTGTGTAGCTGTCACTAGCTGTACGTGTGACTGCACATGTTGTAGGGTGTATATGTGTCAATATAGCTGGTGTGTGATCCTGGCTTTTGTACTTTGCACCAGGGGTTACGCGTCGTTACGTGGTGTAATGTTTGGTGCACCTTTGTTGCTTATCCGTTCATAAGGTCATTGTATTGGGTTATTTATATGTGATGTATTTAACGGATGTTCAACAAATATCAGTGATTATCTGCTTGCACGAAATACCCAAATATGAGTTTGTTGACCTTACAGTTTAATAAATGTCACTGAAAATAGGGGACTGGGTTTGACTGCCAAATTGCCCTTCTCACTTATAACCATTTAACCCTAAAATCATACAGTTTATAAAAAATCGCCTGTAAAACTAACATCACCCTTTCTTCAGCTCGTTGCTGCAGTCGACACCAGGTCTGAGATCCCTGTCAGGCTCTCTCTCCGCTCTGACAGCCCTCTCCACTCTCAACCCCCAACTCTCTCAACTATCCTCCCTCACCGCCCTGGTGCCGGTCCTGACTCCCTTCCCAGTTCCCACCCTACCTTCCCTCGGCGACAAACGCTCCTTCGCCCCCACCTCCCTCTCTCCGCCCGCCGCCGCCGCCATCGAGAGTCTCTCTCCAACTGTGCCGGAGTGCGAGCGCACCGCCACGAGTATCGAGTACTTGAGACTCAAAGCAAAGGAACACAACCTGCAGCTTTCGTCCGTGCAGACGTGAGATTACTGTACACTCTTTAAAAGAGGACACTTTCTGACTCCATATATATTTGACCGGGTGTACCTTTTTGACGAAATTAAGAATTCGGTTTACGATAGAGCTCCCAACTTATTACCCTCTAGATAAGGCTTTAGACATCAAAGGCTAATTTCAAAAAAGAAAGCTTTGTCTTAGGGCGGTTGGTTAAGCTTAGACTTTGGACCTCCAGTCAGTCGAATGTTCACTGTCAAGAGCGTGCAATCTCCAATTCATACAATTTGTTAGCCATACTTCCCGTTAACCCGGGACCTAATGGGAGACACATTGTTAGAGCCGGATTACAAGCGATTGCACCCTACTCCTGCCCACTTAAATGTGACAAATGGTAAAGCTGAACGTTTGGCTTACAGTATGAATACCGCTGACTTTGACGCGAATGTTAATTTAACAAAATTGGGCCTGCCTTTCGTGTAATTTCGTGCATCAAAGTATCTACCGAGGGCTTAGCTCTGGATTGTGAGACTCGAGCAAGATTATGAACTTTGTTACTCTGTTCCCGTTTTGGAACGGTTATTTAAGATTCGGATAAATTTTTGTAGGAAAATTATGTTTCAAAAGACGACGATTTTCAGATGTTTTACACTTAGTTCGTCAAATGACTTAGCTTATTTTTAGCTAATTTATTGAAGGATTACGTGCTGATTGAAAAGTTTTTATGATGTATCATCATGCAAGAAAATGTTTGTGAATATTTTAGTTTTGGGCTGAGAAATTTGCTATTTATATCCTGTTTTCCTTGGGTGCATTTGATGATAATGGTACCCAAGTAATCTGTAGAAGTATTTTAAAAGGGTGTTGCCAATAGGACTAGAATTCAAAATTATCATAACATTATAGGTAGCATTTTAAATGATAGCGCTAAACTTAATTAATACTATGACCGATATCTGAGAAAGTGATGAGAATGATGAGTTTACTAAACATTCGTAATTTTGCTTATAGTTATATAGATGTACGTTAACTTTGTGCTTTGCTATTGTTGAGTTATTATTATAAATTTGAGAACATCTAATGAAAGTTTTTTATTTGTTTTTACGAAAATTAAAAATAACACTGCACCATGCTAAATCAGAATTTGGAAATAAAATGCGTGTCACATAAGTTGAATAGTTTGCTAAGAAGTGTAATGAGGATAATGTATAGGGTTTTTGCAGAATAATTTAAAGCTGCTTAATCGTAATGAATCTTATTACATTAAAATTTACCCGACGAAGATGTAAATTCAAGTAATTCAAGCGAGATCAATCTAGATCTAATAAATTACAAATTAATGATTAATCTTACAAATCAACAATAAATTGATTAGTCTAGATCATTGATCGCTTGATTATTTGTGGCCCTTTGATCTAAATCTAATAATATCGAACAACGTATTAATCAATTATTAACAAACAATTATCTAAAAAAATAAAATAATGATAATATCCCGCAGAGAGATTAGCCAAAAATCTCTAGAGCTGAACAAAAGAACCAAACAAATATTTTGGCCATAGCTATAGTGCTAAGGGCTGAGCCGTCTTTTTTGAAATTTCCGGAGATAACCTGTAACCGTAATCAGTAATACTAATATTAAGTTGTAGGTTTATTAATTGACGATGTCAATTGTTCGTAGTCAAATCGTCCTTGTATTGTTTTACTTCTCTTATTGGTATGGGCAGCGCTTAGCCTGTCATTCCGCCGCGCCAAATCTCTATGATTATGAACATAAACAATAAATATAATTACTGGGCCCGCTCAGCCTGTCATTCCGCCTAATCTCTATTCGTTGATCATGATAGCCTGAGGTCCCCAGGTAAAAATATAATATGTAATAGCGCGCCTGGGGTCCCCAGTCCTTGTCATTTGGCTCAATACAAGTGCTTGTGCAGTAAGCAAATGCTTTTTGAATTTGACTGTAGACTTGAATGAATTTAATATAATATAAGAATTTGTCTTGTAGTTGTACTTGTAGGCAAGTCGTAATATATTTTATGTCCTTGTTAATAATGTTGGCCGTTTTGTTATATAACTAAATAACTTAGGGCCAATGTAAGAAATGCTTTTATCTGAGTTACATAAACGGTTGACGGATGTTACTCGTCTAAATTTCTTCGAAGTAGCGCGCGCCGCTTTCTTCTTACTGGGCCGCGCTCAGCCTGTCATTCCGCCAAATCTTTATTATTGTTAATGAACATAATAGCCTGGGGTCCTCAAGTAACTTTCTTCTCGATGGCAAGTGCTACGAAGTAGCGCGCGCCGGGCCAGACCATTAACAATGGTCAACATAAACGGTTAAATGGTACTGCAAAGAACTAATGTTCTCTTCCAGGTGCGTTTAAGTTTGAAACAGTGAACATTCTTATGATATTTGGTCGAGCGTGCTACTATATACTGCTAAAACATAATAGAGATTAGGCGGAATGACAGGCTGAGCGCGGCCCAGTAACTCAACTGATATTAAGTGACCCAATGGCCCCACTTTTTGTCAAATAAGCTTTTGAATTGTAGCTCGATGCACTCCTGGGTCGCGCCGCGCATCTTCTCGCAACCACGTATGCAGATCGGCGAGATGTGATGGATTGACATCGTGAATCAAGCTTTTGAAATACGACCCACTCACGAAGTAAACATTATTAGCTTTAGTTTAACGGCAAAATACAGCTAATTCTAGTTCTATAAAGTTGTAGGTTTGGAGGAATAAACAATTAATTCTAGTTCTATAAAGTCTTAAGTTTGAACCAAAATACCCTACTCCATACTCCGCGGCAGCTGTATGATGAGAGAGCAGAGAGTTCAGAAAAGCTGCAGAATATGATAGCAGAGGGAGGGGAGGCGGGGGATGGAGATGTTGGCTTTTACTAATTCGCTCGCCCAAAAATGTCACGTGACTTTGGTTTTTATGGTTTTGTTGTAGATTTACAACCTACCAGGAAGCGCGCCGAGTTGGACTCGTCGACGGTCCTAATATATGGAACAGATATTTTACGAGTATCACCCGTTAATGGTTTTGCAGCCGTATAAAACGGTTTTACATAAACACCCTATAACCCAGAACCCTAATCATAACTCCGAATTGGCGAAGCTACCCATAACCCTTACCACAACCCTAACCCTAGCCCTAAGGCTAAACAATCGAATTAATTTTTTACTAGCCTGACACGTGACAAAAAGGGTTTTTTGCCCATAACTCTCCAGGAAAGTATTTTACTCAACGTCATGGGGGTGATTCGGAATCAGCGTTCAAAAATACACCGATTTAGATCAATTTCATACCCAAAGGGCCTTTTCACGATAATTTTCTTAAAATTTGGGCAAGCGATTTTGTAGAAGCGTCCCACACAGGATAGGAGGACTATAGTGCAAAGAAACTGCTGCTAACTGCTGCTATTATATTTATGATCATAATCATAGAGATTTGGCGGAATGACAGGCTGAGCGCCGCTCAGTAATCAGTAATGCTTCTTGAACGTATGAACGGTCTTTAGAAATGAGATTATAATACAGGGGGGGGGGGGGGGGGGGGGGGCAAAAATCAGTACCCATACGTTGGGTCTTATACCAGTACCACCGCCGTGTTTTATATTTGAGAGTTGTAAAAATCATTTCAGTTGTAAAAATCATATTTTCATTACGCGTCTAATCTTTGAGCTCTCTTATCTTTTTAAGTTTTTAGTACTTCGCCTTATCTTACTTGTCAATATTCATATTCCCTAGTGGATTTCTAAGATTATTTCCAAGATTATTTCGTAAATTCATACTCAAGTCCCTTTAATACTGTATAATGGAAACTATACTGGCCGGTAAACTAGCCACTCTGAACTCACTTGGTCCTCGCCTGGACAGTCTCCAAATTACTGATCCAGCGCTTATAGAACTTAAATTTATTTTAAATACTGTGATTACGCAGCTTATCGAGGTTAAGACCGACCTTGTTATTTCGTCTATCACTCAGCAGGAAAGTTTTATCCGTACTGCCAAAACTGAGCAGTATAGTCGACGAAATACGTGTGTTGTTGTTGGATTAAAGGTTGATGCATCTGAATCAAATAATACACACAGTAAGCTTGCTGATAATGTTTGTAAAACTCTTTCTACGGTGTCAGGTACCCCGGTTAAGCCGACAGATTTATCTGCCGTACATCGTAATGGCAGTGGTAAAACACAGTCGCAAGAGGGTCGTTCTACCCGATCTAATAATAAAACCCCTCCGTCGGTCACCGTTTGTTTCTATAACAGTAATTTGAAGGATAAAATTATGCAAAACTTCTCAAACTTTGACTCATCGGCTGATAAGCCACGTGATGTCAGACTTTATCAATCGTTAACTAAGTTCTATTCTGATCTCAAGACCCAAATATCTGGTCAAGTTGAGTCTAGTCTAGGTAAGAACAAGGTTCGTTGGATCCACTGGAGATCGCAGTCTGCTGGTTTAGTCGTAAAACTGAAAGATAGCAATCAAACCGTCATCAAGAGTATCTTCTGCTTTGATGATTTCAAGAAGCAATTTCAATCTCTAAACCTAAACTAGTCAGATTTCGATATTTTCTTAATTCTCCATGGTTCTATCAGCTAACCATTTGATTCACTAATACAGTTTTGATCTCTATAGTTTACCGCTTGGAACTGTCTAATACGGTTTAAACTACGATTTTTAGATTATTACGGTGCTAACTATACCACACGTTATTGACCGCTTGATTACGTCACTAGCTTTTATTGCGTCACCCGATGTCTTGTTTTCCCGCGCTGGTCGTATTATTGTGAGTTTTTATCTACATTTTATCATCATTTAATCATTTAGTTTTTCACCCTCTGTCTATTGTTGAACAACCTTATCTACTTTACTGCCCGTTTAATCACCATTTTCACCATCTTTTCCCATTAAGTTGATATCTAATCTGACATTTTATCTTTTCATCGCTGAAAAACTTAAATATGAAAATCTTATTTCTGATCGACAAGGTTCGAGCTATTTCAGCAAATTGTGGGGTTTTAAGGTTAAACCTTATAATTTCGCTTCAATAATTTATAAAAAGAAAAGAAAAGAAAAAGACAAAAAAAAAAGAAAAAGAAAAAAATACATTGGTAAAAAAGTCGTAAAAAAAAAAAAAGAAAAAAGAAAAGTTGAATTAAATAGACAGTTTATGCAAAACATGTTTTAAAATAAAGTTTCCATTACTCAAGTGTACGTTAACATGGTTAGGGACTTGCTTTCGATACTATGTCACATTCAATATCCCTTAAAACCAACGAGGTAAAACGTGAAAATTGTTACGTTTGCTCAAAGCACGTTTATCTTCATGATTCGGTAGTTGTCTGCTCACTTGACGGCAGAATTTATCATAGCAGATGTTTTAAGATTGACAATTACTCCGCATCGGAGATTCGTAGATATGACGATTGGTATTGTCCTCTCTGTTGCAGAGAGATGTTTCCATTTTTTGATGATACCACTGATTCAAATGTTGATAATTCAAACCAAATGTTTTGTGTTCAATGTAGTAGAATAATCTCACAAAGGCGTGATAAAATTACTCACTGTACTATCTGTTTGAATGCAGCCCATGCTAGCTGTATCTCTTCTATTTGTAACAAATGCGAGAATCATTCTCCTAACAATACTGATTGTACCGATAGCAGCTTATTCTTTAACCCTTATAACCAGGACTTTGATCAAGACAAGTTTGATTTCGATCAGGA